TTGAAAAATGTTGGTAAAGTTATCAAAATGCCGAATATCGGGGGTACCGTTATATGGGGGATATACGATATCGTGAACCTATATAGACAATTCTCTTTCAGGGGGAAAAGTACTCACAAGGAACTTCTTGTGTCGATTTTTAGACCATTTCGTTAGAAAATGTGGCTAAAATTATAAAAATACCGAATATCGGGGGCACCGTTATAGTGGGGGCTATACGATATCGTGGACAAAAGAGGGATCTGTGCAAAATTTTATCTTCCTATCTTAATTCGTTTAGACTGTAGCGTGATTACAACAGACGGACGGACAGGGCTAAATCGTCTTAGAATTTTACGCTGATCAAGAATATATATACTTTGTTGGGTCTAAAATGATTATTTCGATGAGTTACAAACGGAATGACGAAGTTAATATACCCTCCATACCTTTTTTTGGTGGAGCGTATAATAAAACATTTCTAAACTAAAAGTTGTTCATTTTATGAGAGACATCTATGAATAAGTCGAGACACTACGTACGTAGTTTGACTCAAAGACACAATGACTATCAAACTGTAATTGTATAACTCGAATATAGATGTCGCCTTTCGATGTAACAAGGCAAAACTATGGCTCATTCACATGAATATTAAGAGTGTTCGTTTACTCAATAATTTCTACACATTTTTACTGTAAGCTGTTCGTTTACCCAAAAGTCCGGTAAGTAAGAGCGAAATGAGAGAGACATTTTGACATTTGCGTTACTGAGGATTCGCAATTTTTTTCTGGAAAAATGTAGACAGTAAGAATTTTCTAGTAATAACAGCTCTACAAATTTAACCAATATATTTTATAAAGAAATAAGCTATTACATTTAGGAAGGATGAAATTAGTGAAACCATTGCACAATGGGCCCACTTCCAAATTTTCTGTCCAAAACTATTTCAACGTCTCTGTATGAAACCCCTAGAAACCAACAGTGACCTCAATAGTAAATTTCAGAATTTCAGTTCTATCCCTAACCCAATACTAAATTTTGTGACATTTAGTACCCATATCCAAAACAATCTACATCTTTCCATCTTAAACTCCAACAATGATCCGAAATTAGTACTAAATGGTACTAGTACTCATTGCTAAACCGTTCGATACCTCAATCCTAGGCACCAAAAGTTATCGTAATATAACATTTCAGGGTTTCAACTCTACACCTTCACCTAATACCAAATTCAGTTCAATTTAGTACTTTTCGAACAACTAAGGTAAGCATTTTCCAACCCACATCCAAATCTTAAGCTCAGATACCAACAATTATATAAATAGCATTTTTAAGAATTTTATCACTGTCCCTTCAACTGCTATAGGGTGAAATAAAAAAAAACTGCAAGAAAGTTAAACGCCATAATTTGAATTTTTTTTTTAATTTTAATGAATGAAAGCGAAAAATGTCAGAAATGGCATCAAATTTTAGAATAAGTTTAGATTTGTTCGAATTGGCCACCTTTAGCACGAATTATGACCTTCAAACGGTCACACGCTGTCCGAATGTTGCTCTGCGGTATTTTGGACCATTCCCGGCGAACCGCTTGCTTAAGGGGATCGAAACTTTGGTTTTTATAGTGCCAACCTTGCATTCCAAAATACTCCAGACACAATAGTCCAACGGATTGGTATCCGGAGATTTTAGTGGCTATTGTGGTGGCACGTGCTGAGTGCGATGGTGCTGAGTCCTATTGGAATGTCCAAGGTCTGCGGTCAAAATGTTTGCGTGCCCAAGTCTTTCGTACACCCTCCAGAATGTTTTCGCGATAATATTCGGCATTTATTCTGATGCCGCGGTCGATTAATACGAGCCGAGAGCGACCATCGGCTGTTATGGCGGCCCACACCATCACCATGGACTGTGGTAAACTATGCGGCTCCGATGTGGTCCGCTAACGTCAGTGCTACGCAGTAGAAAAATATTCAGTCCTGCCAGAATGCCCCCCTTAGAACCGCAACAGGGTGCCTTCTCATGACCCCTGTCGATGACCCACATGAAGATGCGAAGGTTTTACCGGTGCGACAGCATAACAAAATGCTGTCAATGCAATACCTGCTTGGGTGTTATAGACAAAGCCATCCGAATCACCATCATCAACATGCCTATCAAGCGGGACTGAAAATTATTCACTCTAATGCGGTCTCAGAAGCCATTGAAGTATATAGAGTGAATACTGTGCTAGGAGACCACCCCCCTACCGTCGCAGCTGAAGAACGAGAGCTGGCCCGACAAACCCGAGTAGTTTTGGCTCAATTACGATCCGGATGGTGCAGGCGCCTAAATTCCTACTGGGCCCGGATTAACAGCGACTTGCAGAACATCTACCCAGCTTGTGTCACAGGCCCACATGACACGCTGCACCTATTTCGCTGCCCAGCCAAGCCTGCTCACCTAACTCCAGTCTCCCTATGGACACAACCCATACAGGTTGCATCCTTTTTGAGACTGGACTTATAGGCAGAACCTGATTGAATGGAGTCAGAAAAATGGAAACCGAACGAACACAAATGTATGAGCTGCTACAACAACAACAACCATGGAAGGCGCTTGAGGTGCATATTTTCAGCTAACCTCTTTGGAAAGTAAACACGATAATTTTGTTTTTTTACAAACTGCTGGACAACGAATGTTTCCTCATCCGAGAAAACAAAATTCGACAGTTCACGACTTTCAGTCATGCGAAGCAACTCTTTAGCTCTTTTGAGTCTATTTTCTTTCTGTTGTGGTGTAAGTTCTTGCGCTTTTTTATACCCTCCACCAAAAAAGGTATGGAGGGTATATTAAGTTCGTCATTCCGTTTGTAACTCATCAAAATAATCATTTTAGACCCAACAAAGTATATATATTCTTGATCAGCGTAAAATTCTAAGACGATTTAGCCCTGTCCGTCCGTCTGTCCGTCTGTTGTAATCACGCTACAGTCTAAACGAATTAAGATAGGAAGCTAAAATTTTGCACAGATCTCTCTTTTGTCTGCAGGCAGGTCAAGTTCGAAGATGGGTTATATCGGTCCACGATATCGTATAGCCCCCATATAACGGTACCCCCCGATATTCGGTATTTTCATGATTTTACCCACATTTTTCAACGGAATTGTCTGAAAATCCACACAAGGAGTTCGTTGTGGGTACTTTATACCTCGGCAGAGAATTGTCCATATAGGTCCACGATATCGTATTGCCCCCATGTAACGGTACCCCCCGATATTCGGTATTTTGATGATTTTAACCACATTATTAAACAGAATTGTCTGAAAATCCACACAAGGAGTTCCTTGTGGGTACTTTATACCTCGGCAGAGAATTATTTATATAGGTACACAATATCGTATAGCAACCATATAACGGTACCCCCCGATATTCGGTATTTTGATGATTTTATCCACATTGTCCATATAGGTCCAGGATATCGTATAGTCACCATGTAATGGTACCCTCTGATATTCGGTATTTTGATGATTTTACCCACATTTTTCAACGGAATTGTCTGAAAATCCACACAAGGAGTTCCTTGTGGGTACTTTATACCTCGGCAGAGAATTATTTATATAGGTCCAAAATATCGTATAGCCCCCATATAACGGTACCCCCCCGATATTCGGTATTTTGATGATTTTACCCACATTTTTCAACGGAATTGTCTGAAAATCCACACAAGGAGTTCCTTGTGGGTACTTTATATCTCGGCAGAGAATTGACCATATAGGTCCAGGATATCGTATAGTAATGGTACCCCCTGATATTCGGTATTTTGATGATTTTAGCCATATTTTTCAACGGAATGGTCACAAGGGGTTCTTTGTACACAAGAGGTTCTTTGTGAGCACTTACCCACCGACAGAGAATTCTCTATATAGGTTAACGATAACGTATAGCTCCCATATAACGGTACCCCGCGATATTCGGTATTTTGATGATTTTAGCCACATTTTCCAATCGTATTGTCTGAAAATCCACACACGGAGTTCCTTGTGAGTACTTTACACGCAGACATAGATTTGTCTTTATAGGTCCACAATATCGTATATCCCCCCATATATCGGTACCTTCCTATATTAGATACTTTAAAGATTTTTAAAGAATTTTATTGGATTTTATTTTTTTGAAAATTTTCTAATTCGTTCCAAATGGTGGAGGGTATTCAAAGTTCGGCCCGGCCAAACTTACTGCTTTTTTACTTGTTGAATTTCAGTGGCTTTACCCCGAGCTCATTTTTCAATATTTGCTTAATGGAATATTGCGATATGTTCAGCTCACGAGCCGTTTTTCGGCCACTGCGACGCGGGTTTTGATCAAGTCGCTTTTATACTTTTCGAACCATTTCTGCTGATGTTGCTGTTTTCTTCCGTCCACTTCCTTGTTGTCGGGCTACGCTATCACGGTAACGAGCGATGGTACGAGATACAAAAGATTTATTCACATTTAAATGCTGGAGTGCTCTAACGATAGCCACTTGTGGTTTTCGAGCCAAATATAAAGAAATCACACTATCACGCTTGAATTCCACTACGAATAAGTTTTTTTTTCTGGAAAAAACTTTTGTACGCTTGTAAACAATATAACAAACTGTCACTGGAATAATTGTAACAGCTGTCGGACGAGTGGCTTAGAAATGTCAGCAGTCTGAAATTTGTTGCAGTTTTTTCATCTCACCCTGAATATACGTTATAGGGTCTACCAAGAATATTTTGGGATGTTATAAACGAAATGACAAAGTTAATATGTCCTCCTTATCAAGGTGAAGGGTATAACTAGTAAAAACTCGTTACATTTTGGAGTATTTGAAAATTCTGCCGGCTTTTTTTGCAAAGTTTAATTCGGGACATTTCATAGAATGGTACGTCACAGAGAGTATTCAACTGTAAAAGTTATGCAATTGTCACTATAACAAAAATAAATTAAACAATTAAATTTAAAATATTTTTTTTTTATAAAATCCATTTTTTATTAAAATTCTTTAGTGACTTTAAAAAAGTAAATGTTTTATTATTTTGTTATGTAATATAAAATTGGATGGTACAGCTTAAAATTCAAAACAATGTGTAGAATTAGAATGAAAGTCAGCATATTAAAATTTCAAAGCATTTGGCATTTTTCCTAGCCTCCACCATTTGATGGAGGTTGTACAAATAACCAATAAGGCTTACAAAATTTATAATAGAAATTGGAAACTGGGCACGAACACTGATCTTATGTCTAAAATCTTCATCGTATATAAGATTTTTAGGTTTCAAACTATGAGAGCCGCCATTGGGAATGTGGTTATAAACTCAAATCTGGTTATATGAAAGTATATACTCTATTTCATAACCTGCAATAATCTTCTAGTTTTAAAATTTGTTTCGATATCAAAAGGAAAACTCTGAATATTTTTATGTTATTACTGATTTTGGAATAGAGCAGAAACCTATGAATTAAAAAATCTGTGCAATATTTTAAGGTTATAACTCAAATATATGGTTAATAATATAAAATTCATCCACACATCTTGGAACAGTAATGCCTTTTAAGAATTTGCTACTTTGATCTAGTACTTCCACATGCATATATCTTGGCATTTCTGAAAATTCCGTGTCATATATCAATTATTCTGGATCCAAAAAACGTTGACGCACATGCCAACGTAAACGATTATGATTGGTTTCACCCGGTATGTGTTTACGAAAATAATCCCATTCATTCTTATAATATTGATACAAAGCCACTGGATCGGCGTTGTTTGGCTTGCGAGCTCGTCCTTGAGAAGATGAACGGCGAACTAAAAAAATAAACATATTGTTATTTATTTTAACAAATTATAATGCTACATATTTACTCACTTAAAACACTAGTTGTTTTTGAAACACGTGAACGGCCACTGCTACGTCCGCCACATGTCGAAACAGGACTACATGATCGTTGGGCACTTTTTGCTCGTGTTTTAGATTTTCCTTCGGTTTCTACTTGCCATTCGGGTAACTTTTGGTTTGGTTTTGATCGTGCTAGACGTGTTATACCGGTTGTTGCTTTGTCGCCACTCAAATTCTCCCATTCAGGTATATGGCAGCGATTAACTGGCGACTTTTGTTTGCGTAATGACGAAATGCGATTTTTGGCTGGAGATGAATCGGACAGCAACTCTGCCATCAATGCCTGGGAATCAATTGGTTTTCCTATATTTTCAGAATTTGTCAAATTTAATTTCTCATGAATTTCCCGAGATAAGTTGTCTAAATTGTGGGTTGTTTTATTTTGATCATTAGTATGTTTGATCTTGGACAAATGTTCTTTTAACTTTTCATTTACAATATCCTCTATTAGAGATGGTAATGGCTTTGTTGGACATGTCTCTTGCGGTCCATAAAGTTTGTCTTTTAATGCTTTGTTAACTAGATCTTGTACAATTGCCCTTAGGGCGTTGGGATCCATAAAGAAGTCATTCGTTGCTGCAGCTGTTTTCTTTTGGCAATTGTGTTTGTGAACTTGCGAATTGGAAAATTTCTCTTCCAAAATTTCAGCAACAATTTGCTCCACTGTGGAACGGATAGATGCGGTTTGTGTTGGTTTGGAGACATGTTCTTGCCTTCCAATTGCAATCAAACTGCTATCATCAGTTGATGTGCTTGTCTCGTTTGAAGATTTATTTTTTTCTTGCAAAACTTTTTGTCGTCTTTGGCGAGCTTGTTTACTTGTTGTTGGCAAGTTGTCATCGGAATTGTTTCGGAGTGGTACTTCTCTTCCATGGCGTAAATTCTCCTTGTTATGCTTGGCCCTAAAACTGGCCGTTGTTCGTCGGAATAGACTCTCATAATAATCGTCTTGATGGGCATTAACGCCCATTCGTTCTTCATATTTGATTAACTTCCGTAAATCTTAAATGAAAAATAAGAAGAAGAAGAATTTATTTCAAAGATAAATCAACAAATAAATTTAAATAAAAATCTAAATAAAATAAAATAAAAAAATAAACATATGGTCTGTTCCAGAACCTGCAAGAATCTATTGGTTTTGTAAATTTTTTCGATATCATAAAGTGAAAATTGGTTATCGTAGTAAAAAGATGTAAAAGTTCTGAACAGACCAATAATCAACAATTGGTGAACACGACCTGGCATAATATCCAGAGAGATCCAAAATGTAGGAAGACACTGATTCAGGTGTTAATTTCGCCACTCCTTCTGCTATACAAACCAACCAGTATAGGTAGGCGAAGATCGCTATCAGCCATCAGCTTGTGTCTACTTCAAGTGGCGCTTAATTCGCTCAGGCTGATCTTATGATAACCTATTAGCAATGGGTCATGACAGGTTTTGCACAGAAATCGGCAACTGCTTCATTACGTTAATCCTTGGAAGAAATAAAATTGTGGGGATAGGAAGCACAGGATTTATAGAAAGAAGTACAGGATGAGATAAAAAAACTGCAACAATGTCAAAAGCCCTACTTTTTATATTTTTTTAAATTCTATTGAATGAAAGCAAAAACTGTCGGAAATAGCATCAAATTTTAGAATAAGTTTAGATTTGTTCGAATTGGTCACCTTTGGCACGAATCATGATCTTCAAATTGCCAATGAAACCGTCACACGCTGCCCGAATGTTGCTCTGCGGTATTTTGGCCCATTCCCGGCAAAGCACTTGCTTGAGGTGATCGACACTTTGGTATTTTTTAATTTTAATTTTAATTGGTATCCGGAGATTTTGGTGGTCATTGTGCCATGAAGCGAGGAACCTCATTTTGTAACCATTCTTGGATGGCACGTGCTGAGTGCGATGGTGCTGATTCCTGTTGGAATGTCCAAGGTCTGCGGCCAAAATGTTTGCGTGCCCAAGGCTTTAATACACCCTCCATAATATTTTCGCTATAATATTCGGCATTTATTCTGATGCTACGCCCGATTAATACGAACGGAGAGCGACCATCGGCTGTTATGGCAGCCCACACCATCACCATGTCCGGCGCTTGAGTCCTGGTGGCCAACTGAAGGTGCACATTTTCAGCTGACCTCTTTGGCAAGTAAACACGATCATTTTGTTTGTTTACAAACTGCTGGACAACGAAAGTTTTCTCATCGGAGAAAACCAAATTCGACAGTTCACCACTTTCGGCCAAGCGAAGCAACTCCTTAGCTCTTTTGAGTCTATTTTCTTTCTGTGGTGATGTAAGTTCTTACACTTTTTGGAATTTCAATGACTTTACCGCGAGCTCATATTTCAATATTTGCAGAATGGAATATTGCGATATGTTCAGCTCACGAGCCATTTTTCGGCCACTGCGACACGGGTTTCGATCAAGTCGCTTCTTAACTTTTCGAACCATTTCTGTTGATGTTGCTGTTTTCTTCCGTCCACTTCCTTGACGTCGGGCTACGCTACCAGAATCACGGTAACGAGCGATGGTACGAGACACAAAAGATGTATTCACATTTAAATGCTGAAGTGCTCTAACGATAGCTACTTGTGGTTTTCCAGCCAAATATAAAGAAATCGCACTATCACCAAAATGCTTTTGTGCACTTGTAAACAACAGCTGTCGGACGAGTGGCTTAGAAGCAGTCTGAAGTTGGTGGCAGTTTTTTCTTCTCGCGCTGTATAAGGACAGTATAAAAATTTACTTCTCTCTCGACATCGTTGATTAATTTCAGACCTCAAGAATTCTATTTCAACTTAAGACACAAGAGATTGGTCCCAGTCTATCCTATACGATTTCTGTCTGTTGAGGTTCGAACAAACCTCCATCCTCGTAAACCAATTAGGCCCACCGTGCGATCTACCACAATGGAGACCCAGGAGATCGATGAGGAGCTTATCGACCTCGACCTTTAAGGTGCGGAGATCGGAGGGGTATCATCACACTAAAGATCAAACTAAAAGTTTTATTTTCATTGTGCCTCAATTTACAAACAACATGTACGTATAATTTCGTATACTTGTGGTGTTCGTGTAGATTCTTTGTTGTGTAGTATTACCTTGTAATTTAGAACCAATTAAAGAACCCTCGTCCTTGTGGGAAATCTGTACACTGTCTGACACTGCATTTAGCCACCTGGGCGAATATCATCTTTTCAGTTACCTTCATATTGCTAAGATGTCAATCCCCTCTTACAGTATTCTGAAATGTCAGAGTCTTACTCTTAATATATATTCTAAGATCATTATTGAGAATAAAATGTTTTAGTTTTTATTTTACCCCTCTCCTCGTTTGATAAATTAAAATGACAACAAACTTTTAAATTAATATTTTTTCTTTATTATTATTGCAACATAAAATTGTTACAATCTATAGTTACTTTCAAATTTAATCAATGTGTTTCTGGTTTGTTAAAAAAAGAAAATTTTATATTACCACTCATGACTTTTGTTCTGTGTTGTTTTAAATTTAAGATTACATATAATAAATTACATTTAGGTGATCTATTAATTTGTTCATATATAATTTTTACATTTAAAATGGTGAAAAAAAAAACATTTAATTTTAAATGAAGGGAACCTGCTATGTTATGGTAGTATTTTTCCTTTGTTTGAAAATTCTGGGTGTCGTATGGCGGGAAGGGCATCAAATTACAAAAAAAAAAAAAAAAAAAATAAAAAAAGGTATTGAAGGCAAAACTGATTTTCCAATCACATGTCTGATTTTCCATTCACATGGTTTGCTTCAATTTTTTTTCGGCGACAAAAAATCTCAGTCCTCTGGAGGCGGAGCTAGTTGCCTCGGTTAATTTTGAGAAACCAAAATTTCCTTACAAAAACAGGTGGTTTAGCTTGAATAATTTTAAATTTTCGGATAGAAACAAACATAGTTGATTGCTATCGGACCCATCCATATGTTGCAGATAGTGGAAAGCCCAGTAGATGCAGGGTGAGATGAAAAATCTGCAACCAATTTCAGACTGCTGTCATTCCTAAGCCACTCGTCCGAGAGCTATTTAAATTATTCCAGTGACAGCTCATTATATTGTTTACAAGCGTACAAAAGCATTTTGGTCAGAATTTTCCAGAAAAAAGTTATTCGTGATGGAATTCAAGCGTGATAGTGTAATTTCTTTATATTTGGCTGGAAACCCACATGTGGCTATCGTTAGAGCACTCCAGCATTTAAATGTGAATAAATCTTTTGTGTCTCGTACCATCGCTGGTTACCGTGATTCTGGTAGCGTAGCTAGAACTTAAACAGCAGCCGACAGAAAATAGACTCAAAAGAGCTAAAGAGTTGCTTCGCTTGGCCGAAAGTGGTGAACTGCCGAATTTGGATTTCTCCGATGAGAAAACATTCGTTATCCAGCAGTTTGTAAACAAACAAAATGATCGTGTTTACTTGCCAAACAGGTCAGCTGAAAATGTGCACCTTCGGTTGGCCTACTGAACTCAAGCGGCGGCCATGGTGATGGTGTGGGCCGCCATAACAGTCGATGGTCGCATCAGAATAAATGCCGAAAATTAATGCGAAAATATTCTGGAGGGTGGATTAAAGCCTTGGGCACGCAAACATTTTGGCCGCAGACCTTGGACTTTCCAACAGGGCTCAGCACCATCGCACTCAGCATGAGCCGCCCAAGAATGGTTACAAAATCAGGTTCCTCGCTTTATTTCCAGCGCACAATGGCCACCAAAATCTCCGGATACCAATCCGTTGGACTATTGTGTCTGGATTATTTTGGAAAGCAAAGTTGCCACTGAAATGTCGATCACCTCAAGCAAGCGCTTCAAAATACCGCAGAACAACATTCGGGCAGCGTGTGACGGTTTCATTGGCCGTTTGAAGGCCATAATTCGTGCCAAAGGTGACCATTTCGAACAAATCTAAACTTATTCTAAAATTTGATGCTATTTCCGACATTTTTTGCTTTCATTCAATAAAATTGAAAAAAAAAATGTAAAAATTAATGCGTTTGACTTTGTTGCAGTTTTTTATCTCACCCTGTATACTGGGTAGCTGCGAACTGAATAAGCATTCGCGGACAGTGAGCGGGTCTAGAGAGAATGTCTCGGCTTAAATACCCGCAAGCCAATAATCCTTAGACTGACTCGGACAGTTATTCAGGATCGTTTGCTACCACCAGTAGTAGGACGAAACGGACAGTAAGTCTGGGAGGCAATAATGCTCTGACACTGGATCTAATAAACGATAACGTAGTCAGACACTGGGCTGTGCTAGAGAGAGTCTCAGCTTAAATACCCAATAATCCTAGCCAATACCCAATAATCCTTAGACAAACTCGGGCAATGATTCAGAATCGTCTGCTATCGAAACGAGTAGTAAGTCTGGGAGGCGACAATGCTCTGACATTGGACCTATTAAATGAAAATATAGACAGACAGCATATAGAAATCCCACAAATTATTGTGGATATGGGTTAAGGCTGAGTCGGGTCAGCATCCCTGTAGACTGCCGGGGAACCCCATGTCTGACGAGGAAGATAACATTAATACCATTTGTTCGATATAAAATGCGAGAACTTGGCCCTAGTATCATTCAGAAACCCAATTCGAGACCAAAAAAAAAAGAACAAGATTCAGATAAAACAGCAGATAATATTTCACGGAAATATGTTCAACGCAAAACTTATTCCTCAAGCTGGTCTGACGAGGAAGAGAACATTAATACCCTTTGTTCGATATCAAATGCGAGAATTTGGCCCTAGTATCATTCAGAAACCCAATTCGAGACCAACAAAATAAAACAAGATTCAGACAAAACAGCAGATAACATTTCATGGAAATATGTTCAACGCAAAACTTATTCCTCAAGCTTGTCTGACGAGGAAGAGAACATTAATACCGATATCAAATGCGAGAATTTCGCCCTAATATCATTCAGAAACCCAATTCGAGACCACAAAATAAAACAAGATTCAGACAAATCAGAAGATAAT